AGTTGTTGACACAATGAAAAACAAGCATTATTTATTTGCTTAAATATACTGCTCAAGAACTTTTGTACACGCTAATGTATATATTCTTCAAATAAATATATATGAACAATAATAAATAGCGTTGATTTATTTTACAATATTCTTTTACGCAAAACTTTAATATTGATATTAATAAAAATTTCTTAAGACTTTTCTTGAAAGAAATTATCTGACCGAAAACTTTTGCATACTATTGTATAGATTCATATCAACCAATTTTTGTTTATTTTGATCTATAAAATCGATCATCCTAAAATTTCTCATGAATATATTAATACTATAAGATGAATTACCTATAATTGTGTTTAAAAGATTGTAAAATGTTATAAATATTTTTAAAATTTTTAATTAAAAAAATGTTCATGTAAAATATGAATAGTTCTAAAAATATAATTTTTTTTTTGTAAATAGACGATATATGATTAATCGATTCAATTTGTCATTCCACAAAAACATAAAAATTTAAAAAAAGTACGAAAATAATATGTAATAAACAGTTTGTTTATTACATATAATAAATTTTATAGTATTATTTGAAATCAATTTAAAATATTTCGTAAAATAATGTTTTTAATATAAATAACTTAATATTTACTTTTTTTTCAATGACAAGTTGAATTAATTCGTTACAAAAATGTGATTTAATTGAAAGAAAAACAAAATATAATATATATATCCTCTATATTCATTTATATATTATCATAAATTTGTTCTTCAAACAACTTTTATTTGAAGCTTTTTTTTTTATATAACTAATTCGATTTAGTCTTAAATGATTCATTCTATATATTTTAATTTCATGATTTTGAATCATGATCATAATTTTGCATATACAATTAAAAAATATATTACTTGTCAAATAATTTTAAAAAAAGGATATAAATAAAGATAGTTTTAATATGATCAAATGTATATATAATAAAAATAATTTATATATAAAATATATTATATATAAACATTTTTTAATTGTCTATAAAATGTTTATTTGTTTTATTAATTTCATATTTTTTTTTTTTTTTGCAAATTGTAATAATCTAAAAAAAAAAATTATTCAAGATTT